ACATTTTTTTATTTATTTAAAATATAACTATCATGATTGCACAGTCCATATATTAAAAAAGATTTTACATAATAAATGATATTCTTATTTTGGCTATTATCACCTAAATGAAAAAAAATTCCAACAAATAGCCATCTTTTTCCAGTAAAATAGGTAACATGGTTGTTATTTATAATATGAATTATTATCGGATTTCCATCCCTAGAAAAAATCAATGATGAAAAGTTTTGAGTATATAAGTGGTATAAAATAGTGTCGTTTCAAACCATTACAGAAAACGAAAATATGTATGACGAACTAAAATATTTTTACGTTACACCAGCTACCTTTTACTGACTCAAGAAATCGTAAATGACACGATTGCAAAAAAACCATACATACCCACCCCCTTGCCCGCCGGGAATTGAACCCTGCAGTCAAGAGCTCAAAACTCCCATGCCCGTCGCGTTAGCCACTGAACCAGCTAGCCACAATAAGAGTCATCCAACTAAGGTAATATTTTCTACACCAAAAGGAAAAGTTAGCCAAAACCAGTGCCCCTCTGTGACCACAAAATGCAAGTTTTTACAGACGAATCTCCACTAGCGTGGCCTGACGAAACGGCCACGCAGCCTGGAGATGCCGTGCGTAAAAACTGTGGCATTTGTGGTCACGAGGGAGTCCTGTGCGAACGTTTCGCAATGGTGTAGAAATATACCTTTTGGATGAATCTATTTCAAGCTGTCTAGAGCTAAACGCGACGGGCTGGAGTTTTGAGACTCTATTGACCCGGCGGGTTCAATCCCCGGCCGGTGGTATGGTTTAGCTAACCTATTAACTGGAGTAACATAAGATAGAGAGAGAGAGAGAGAGAGAGAGAGAGAGAGATGGAGAGAGAGAGAGAGAGAGAGAGAGCTGATGCGAGAAGAGAGAAAGAGATAAGATTTTGTGAGCGGATATTTTACCCGGAGGGCTAAAAATGGGATAACGTACATCTTGTACCCCCAGGATACGCCCCACACCAGTCCCAGGTACCTAATTATCTTGTTAGGTGAACGGGGACAGTATAGTTTAGATTAATATCTAATTATCTTTATTAATTCACACCATACCCATACCTGAGGACGGTAGTCAGAATGATTACAGAGGTACATAGTGGGTCCCAGGACTGGAGGGCCAAACGTTTAAATAGCTGAACAAGATACAAAATGTATGAACTTTTACATATTTTATATCTGGATCCAAATCAGACCAATTTACAAAGGAAAGTGAACAATTTACACTCAATATATGGTCACAAACATGAACAAATTACAAAGTATAAGCCCATTCACAGCGTCCACACCCGGTCACAACTAGGACAACAGATGTAAGGAAACACCGCTAATGTTTTCATTTTGGTTTAATATATTTATTAATGCACCCCCGACCCATCTTGTGGGCGGTAGTCCAAAGGATACAGAGGGCCCATAATGATCCAAGGACTGGCCCCAAAGTTTTGAAATAGCTAAACAAGGTACAAAGGTTAATGAAACATCTACAAGTTCGTCTAAACAATCTGGTGGGGTGATTTAACCTGCCCGATACTTGAAGTTCCCATCCTAGACGGGAATAGTGACATCCCATGATCGGCTTTATTTGTTGTATGCATCAACGACCCATAAACCATACCCCCGGCCGGGATTGAACCCGCGGTTCAATACCCGGCCGGGGTATGGTTTATTTAGCAATCGTGGTCATTACGAATTCTTAAGTCATCATAGACTCCTCCCTGCATGATAGAATGATGATAGATGACTGACTGGTGTCGAATCACCCTTACTCTTACGTCAATAAAATTCATTTGAAGTTCTTTCGTAATTATTGTTCTCAAACTGCTAACTTACAAGCCAAGATTGTAATCTGCTCCCTCTTTGAAAGCATATAACTTTAGCCAATTCATTAGTTCTATCATACCATTCTGAAGACTAATCAATAGACAGTGAAAAGGAAATCCCTCAGCATGTGCCACTCTGACTCCACAGTCCACAATTTTAAACCATTCCTGTGTCTGCTTCCTGACACAAACATGCCACAGTTTATACTTAAGGAGTTGAGAGCATTTATGTATGACAGAGAATCAACATCAGATACATGGACGCATTTGAGTGCAAGGAGTATGAACAAACAGTTCTGTTTTTGAAGGGTAGAGGCCCAGATATTGATGCCGTGTCTCCAATTTCTTTATGAAAACCTCACTGCTCATGTATGACAACAGCAGCACAACCAGTTGCACCAGTGGATTGGTGAACACAACCATTAATGTAAATAATTTGTGAAAGAGTGTGCTGTGTGACTAAGTTATCAATACAGCTTAAGGCATCCTGTTTGGGCTTTAAGGCGAAGCTTTGGTTGTTAATTTAAGAAGTATTTTTTTTTTATTTTTTTAGGGGGGAAATGGAGGATGGTAGTACTGTTGGAAAGCAGAGAAGTGCCCGCCTGTTGCCTACCCTGCCACTTAACACAGATCATGTATCTGGTTCATGCTGGGTCGGTTCGCATTTTTTCGACCCATCTGGAGTGGGGTGTTCACCAGTGCTGAGGAAAGAGTTGTAGAAAGGGCCTTCTAGTAAGGGATTGAATGGGCTTGCTAAGAATAATTGACCCCAATGAGGATATTCCTTACAGAAACAACGATCTCTGAAGCTTGGAATGTCAAGTATCTTGCCGCATATTTAAAATTTTGGCAGTACGAAAGGCATCCTAGAATATCCTCATTAGCTTCCTTCTACAGATTTTCCAGCATCCAACTCCAAGCAGAACACAGAGAGTCAAATAGTGGCGCAGCATAATCAGCAAATTACTAAAATATAGAGCACGATACATAATTTTCCACAATTTCAACATTAAGCACCATACCTGGGATGAAAACCTGCCCCAACACAAGTGCTCACAGCCTTTTATTTGTATCAGCGACAAAGCGACGATTACCACAGGTCCAAATAGTGGGACATCAAGCCCTAGATACCTGTATCTGCTACATATCTAAAAGAGACCCATCATGCAACTGTGAATCCTGGCGAACTGAGTGGCCTCTCTATCGAGACACCTGTTGAGTATCTTTGTTTTATATAGTAAGAGATATATCAACCCCGATCTTGACTAACGAAGCTAGTCATGATTTAAGAATTTATGGGTGTTGGGGAATCCGTGAGGTGTGTGAGAATCATAAGTCATCACTTAATAAGAATACGAATAGGTTGGACAGAGGGCGAGCAACCTCCCTATCTGGAGTGTATTCCGGGGATCAACGCTCCTGCGGCCCGTTCCACGACCAGGCCTCCCTGTGGGGTTCCTAATTCAAAGTCTTTAGTTATATTTCCGTGCCCCTGGAACAACACAGAAGACTTTCTGTTGGACAGGTAGCCTTTAATCCAGCGGAGAAGCCATCTTCCAACATCCATTCAAGCAAGTTCACTAATGATAACATATCGGTTGGCTACATCAAAAGCAGATTTAAGGTCAAGAAGATAGTGTATGAGCTCTCAGTGTGCAGGATGATAAAGGTGGTTATGCAATGATGCACGCTCCTTCCATGCATGAAACCATGCAACCGGGGAGACAAATGTTGTTTTATTCTGTGCATGAGACGATTAACGATCATCCTCTCGAATGTTTTACAAGCAGCTAGTAAGAGATAATGGGCGAAATGCATTTTGTTGATTGGGCTAGGAACTGGAATGATGAGGCTGTTGGTCCAAGTGCCAGAGTTAATTTTTTCTAGGCAAAAGTTCGGATCCATGTTGTTTAGGATATCTTCCCAACTTATTTCATTTAGGACATGGTTGACTTGCTCCCATTGTATGGTTTTGTTATTGAAGTTGAATTTTGTGAAGACACCTTCATGATTGATCACATTTTGCTGGTTAGGAGCCCTGTGTATACATGTCGGTACCTCTATTATGTTGTGATCTGAGTGTATTGTCTTTGATACGGTTATATTTCGTATCAGATAGTCGTTGCTAGTGAAGATGAGGTCTATCGAAGGACTCTTGTTTTAATTCCACTTGGGTCCTCAATCTTGTCCCCTAGGATGCGACCCACACTAGTCGACTAACACCGAGGTGCCTACTTGCCTGTTAGGTGAACGGGACAACAGGCGTAAGGAAACAAGCCCTTGTCGGGGATCGAACGACGGACACTTATTTGTGTGAAGCAAGAGCATTGCCTACCAGGCCACGGGCCACAATGAAAACTAAATGTATTTCGATGACTGCTTGATCCGAGGAAGGTCTCCTTGTATTCCATAATCTCAGTCTCATGTGCCTCAACGCACTCGACTGGAACAGTGCAGAGTGCGGCATAAGTTGATAATGCAGTTAAATATTAGTGTTGAAGATTTGAAAGAAATCAGAAGAGGCATTCACAAGTCATCATATGGAAACTGATATCCCATTTTTTCCATAAAAAATGCTAATCCTAAAACTTACATACTACTTCATTCTAATCCTAGCACAAAAATTTTCCCACTGTGTGTCAATGCATCATAAGTAGTTTTTCCAGTCATAACTTATTTCCACAGCTGAGCCAATTGGAATTCCACTGGGGTTATCCCGCAATAAATCTACATAATATACTACATATACAGGTGCTAATACAGTCCGAGTATCCTCGTAATCACTATATATATTTTTTTTGATACAAGGGATGTATTGCTGGCCTAAATCAAAATAATTATAAAGTATTGCGCACTGAGGTTGTCATCGGGGCGGTGTTGTTGTTGTCTGGCCTGTGTGACGTCACACACCCTCCTATGACCACACATTTACGACGAATTTACTACTACGTTGAACCTTCCCACGTATGTGAGTGAGTCAAGACACTCGCCAGATATGTTTGAGGCTGAGGAGGTGATGTAAGGTGAGGTAGAGGTAGTGTGAGAGGCAGGGAGGGAGGTTTATTATGGCAGGGGCGACCTCTGCCTGACATCAAGTGTCGTCATCATAATACTTGTTCTTCCTTAATGTTTAAGACGCTTTTCTTTTCCTTGAGTGTGGATGCTGTGGCTTAAGATATTCCTCTTCCTCAAGGGAGGCACCTTGATGCTGGTGAGGAGCTCTTGATGCAAGGAACTGGGTTTGTCCTTGTCTTGGATCAAACCTGAATGCTTCTGCTTCCTCAAGCGTTATATGACCCGTACGTGTTTGGTGCTTCCCACTGATTAAAATAAATGTTCCTAATAAAGTCTTGAGAGATATATAGGTGCAATTATGGCTTATGTACTGACGTAAGTGACGGGGTTATGTATCAGGCTGCCTGTAGGGCCTAAAGCTGGATTAATTATTAGTTTAGGCACAAGATACACATAAGTACAATTATCGTACATATTGTAAATTACCTAGGATAACCCCCCAAAAAAGTCAGTGACTTTTTAATTAGGTAGCATACGTAGAAATATGTACTTGTAAATATGTATGTAAATATGGTGGCCCGGTGGCCTGGTGGCTAAAGCTCCCGCTTCACACACGGAGGGCCCGGGTTCGATTCCCGGCGGGTGGAAACATTCGACACGTTTCCTTACACCTGTTGTCCTGTTCACCTAGCAGCAAATAGGTACCTGGGTGTTAGTCGACTGGTGTGGGTCGCATCCTGGGGGACAAGATTAAGGACCCCAATGGAAATAAGTTAGACAGTCCTCGATGACGCACTGACTTTCTTGGGTTATCCTGGGTGGCTAACCCTCCGGGGTTAAAAATCCGAACGAAATCTTATCTTATCTTATCTTATGTACTTGTAAATGTATTTTCCCGGTGGCCTGGTGGCTAAAGCTCTCGCTTCACACATTGAAGGCCCGGGTTCGATTCCTGGCGGGTGGAAACATTTCGATGCATTTCCTTACACTTGTTGTTCTGTTCACCTTGCAGCAAGTAGGTACCTGGGTGTTAGTCGACTGGTGTGGGTCGCATCCTGGGGGACAAGATTAAGGACCACAATGGAAATAAGTTAGACAGTCCTTGATGATGCACTGACTTTCTTGGGTTATCCTGGGTGGCTAACCCTCCGGGGTTAAAAATCCGAACGAACTCTTATCTTATCTTAAATCCCTTTATGGGGGGGGGGGTGCTTTGATGCCAATGAAAATCGCTTGATCCAAGAAGTTGGAGTTAGTTTCACTTGCTCTGTATTGAAATACACACACACACACACACGTACTTTTTGACCTGTACATGTTTAGTAACTCTGTGTTAGCATTTATTTGTGTTTAGTGTTTGTGTTCAGTTCTTTTACTGTTTGTTAAATTTTTACCTTTTATTGTGTGTGGTGGTTTATAATTTGTGGCTGAGAGTATTGAGTGACCTATGCAGTCAAAATGCTCTGTAAATGTAACAACAACTGCTACAGGTTTAATGCTCCCCATGAATATAATAACACATGCAGTATGTACATGTCAGTAATTTGGGTAATTATATTTGACTGCTCCTCAGCAGATTTTGGCCATTAATTGTAATTTGAGTTGTGCAGTATTTAGTGGCTTTTACATTTGAGATATTTTGTTGTGCAAATGGTAAAAATCCTAACCTAACCTAATTAAACTATCATAATCCAACTTAAAATAACCTAACCTAATATAATTATCAATTACTCAGATATGGTAAACATGAGGAAATTAAATCTTCATCAGAGTACAAAACAAATTCTGGCCACAAAATAGAGCGAAACACCAACGTCAAAGACCTGGGAGTGATTATGTCGGAGGATCTCACCTTCAAGGACCATAACATTGTATCAATCGCATCTGCTAGAAAAATGACAGGATGGATAATGAGAACCTTCAAAACTAGGGAGGCCAAGCCATGATGACACTCTTCAGGTCACTTGTTCTATCTAGGCTGGAATATTGCTGCACACTAACAGCACCTTTCAAGGCAGGTGAAATTGCCGACCTAGAAAATGTACAGAGAACTTTCACGGCGCGCATAACGGAGATAAAACACCTCAATTACTGGGAGCGCTTGAGGTTCCTAAACCTGTATTCCCTGGAACGCAGGAGGGAGAGATACATGAATTATATACACTGGAAAATCCTAGAGGGACTAGTACCGAACTTGCAACTCGAAAATCACTCACTACGAAAGCAAAGACTTGGCAGACGATGCACCATCCCCCCAATGAAAAGCAGGGGTGTCACTAGCACGTTAAGAGACCATACAATAAGTGTCAGGGGCCCGAGACTGTTCAACTGCCTCCCAGCACACATAAGGGGGATTACCAACAGACCCCTGGCAGTCTTCAAGCTGGCACTGGACAAGCACCTAAAGTCAGTTCCTGATCAGCTGGGCTGTGGCTCATACATTGGTTTGCGTGCAGCCAGCAGCAACAGCCTGGTTGATCAGGCTCTGATCCACCAGGAGGCCTGGTCACAGACTGGGCCGCGGGGGCGTTGACCCCCGGAACTCTCTCCAGGTAAACTCCAGGTAATAAATATGTCTGTTTGGCCAGGTGCATGACATGACTCATTACTAAGCATTAATATTCTCAGATGTGTTTCACAACCAAAATAAACATATATACTTCTTTTGTTAATATCTCACAAAGTTAATTTTCACAAGAAATACTGACTTCAGTGTGTGACTACAGCTTGGTGGAACTTGGGCATTAGTTTACATTTTCAACTCCATACAGCCTGGGTACACCTTGGATTAAGTAAGAATTTCATGGCAGATTGTTATTTTGGGAGACACGAGTAAAATAGTACAGTAAATTTATGTTGATTTTGCAGCACATCTGAGTCATTCCTTAGTATTATTGTATTGTGCACCTGGCTGAATGAAAACAAAGATGCATCCCTGCTGATGGTGGAGTACAGTTGTTACATTAGATTAGGTGGGTTTCATTAGGCTAACCTATTAACTGTGTCCACGGTACTAGTACACAGGTGATGACTGTCTCCAACATACTAGTACGCACAGTTTTTCATGTCTTCTAAGACACCATCTGCCGGTATTTTTGACCTTGGCTACAACTGTTTGGGTCCCATACAACCTCCTCATGCCCTTGAAAAATCTAAGTCCTGGCAGGTCCATGCATTGCATCATGAGGCAACACTTCCTAACTAGCCTAAGTAAACAGTGGCACCAAGACCTGTTGTTTCACCATCAGCTCCCGTACCAGCAAACAGGGTATGGAACTTTTGAGGAAGATGCCTTACTCATTCTAAATTTGCTATACTTTTGTAATACTACCATTGGATTTCAGCCAGTGAGCACAATTTAACCAAGGATAACCTGATCATCTTTCTTTCAACACACCGGCCGTATCCCACCGAGGCAGGGTGGCCCAAAAGGAAAAACGAAAGTTTCTCCTTTTACATTTAGTAATATATATACAGGAGAAGGGGTTACTAGCCCCTTGCTCCTGGCATTTTAGTCGCCTCTTACAACACGCATAGCTTACGGAGGAAGAATTCTGTTCCACTTCCCCATGGAGGTAAGAGGAAATAAATAAGAACAAGAACTAGTAAGAAAATAGAAGAAAACCCAGAGGGGTGTGTATGTATATGCTTGTACATGTATGTGTAGTGTGACCTAAGTGTAAGTAGAAGTAGCAAGACGAATCTGAAATCTTGCATGTTTATGAGACAGACAAAAGGACACCAGCAATCCTACCATCATGTAAAACAATTACAGGTTTCCATTTTACACTCACTTGGCAGGACGGTAGTACCTCACCTGATATAGTCAATGTGACACTTATTGTGTTGTCTCTTAGCATACTTTTGGTGCCCAGCTTTTCACTGGGGGGATGTTGCATCTCCTGTCAAGTCTTTTGCTTTTGTAGAGTGATTTTTGTGTGCAGATTTGGGACTAGCCCCTCTAGAATTTTCCAAGTGTATATATCATGTATGTTTCTCACCTGCATTCCAGGGAGTACAAATCAAGGGACTTCACCTGTTCCCAGTAATTTAGGTGCTTTACTGGACTTGAGTCCTGGAGATGGGAAGTACAGTGCCTGCACTCTGAAGGAGGGGTGTGAATGTTGCAGTTTTATAATTGTAGTGTGAGTATGCCTCTGCCAAGACTGATGGAGTGAATGATGATGAAAGTTTTTCTTTTTCAGGCCACCCTGTCTTGGTGGGGAAACAGCCGATGTGTTAATAATAAAATAATAATAAATTGTATTTGTACGTGCCATGAAAATTCTCTGCAAATTCTCAAGGTCTGCAATTTTGCCAGCTTTGAAAGGGGCTGTTAGTGCACAGCAATATTCCAACCTAGAGAAAATGGGTTATTTGAAGGAGAATCATCATGGGCTTGGCATCTCTAGTTTTGAAGGTTGGCAATATCCATCCTGTCATTTTCCAAGCAGATGTGATCTTTGAAAGTGAGATTTTCTGACATCATTCCCAGGTCCTTCATGTTAGTTTTTTGCTCTGTTGCATGGTTAGAATATTTTTTATACTCTGATAGTTTTTATTTCCTCAAGTTTTCCATAGCGGAGTAATTGAAATTTGTCTTCATTGAACTTCATATTGTTTTCTGCAGCCCATTTAAAGATTTGGGTGATGTCTGCTTGGAGATTTACAGTGTCCTCAATGGATGACACATTCTTTGCGTTCTATTTGTTAGGAAGTTATAAATCTATCAACCCATTTTTCCTGTTATTCCTTTATCACACATTTTGTGTGCTACTACAGCCTGATTGCACTTGTCAAAGGCTTTTGCAAAGTCAGTATATATTACATCTGCATTTTGTTTGTCCTCCAGAGCATCCAAGACCATGTTACAGTGGTCCAGTAGTTGTGAGAGGCAGGAGCAACCTGCTCTAAACCCATGCTGCAATGGGTTGTGGAACTGATGAGTATCTTGCTTCTTAGAACCCTTTCAAAGATTTTTACTGTGTGGGACATTAGTGCTATTGGTCTGTAATTCTTTACAATTTTTTACTGCCACCTTTGTGGAGTGGGGGCTATGCCTGTTGTTTTTAGTGACTGGGATGATCCCTGTGTCCATGCTCCCTCTGCATAGAATACTTAGGGCACGTGCAAGGGGTTTCTTGTAGTTCTTGATGAGCACGGAGTTCCACGAATCTGGGCCTGGGGCAGAGTGCATGGGCATGTCATTTATTGCTTTTTAGTGTCTTCTAGTGTTAAGATAATATCAGAAATTCTTGAATTTACCAAATTTTAAGTCTCAGTC